AGAGCGCTAGCCTTGAGCTGAAGAGCTGAGGGGCAGCGCCCAGGCCCAAGGTTCAGGCCCCATGACTGGACCAAAAAAAAAAAGAAGCAAGAGTTCCATCTGTGAGTAAAAACGTAAATTGAGAAGACAAGGCCTTGAGTTCAAGCCTAGTCACCAACACACACACACACTGTACACACACACACACACACAAAAGTAACACAGGCTAAAGACATGGCTCAGTGGTAAAGTACCTGTCTAACAAGCACAAAGTCCTAAGTTTAAACCTCAGTACCTCAAAAAACAAAAACAAAATGACAACAGCAACAACAACAACAAAAAAAACATTAATCATTCAATATTTTGAGTTGATATATTTATGCCTTCCCCTGCATTCCAGAACTAGGGACCGAACCCAAGGCCTCACCCAAAGCTGCTAGGCAAACTCTACCACCTTAAGCCAGGCACCCCACCCATAGTTACACCACAGGGAGAACAACAGTCCATAAGTGTGCATGGTTAACAAGTAGTAAGTTCTTCAACGAAGGCGCCACAAAGGCAGAGACAGGGCACAAAGGCCACGTACCATGAGGTTGCCATGTGTCTCCCAGGTTGGTGCTTCAGTTTTATACAGCTCCTCAAACTGTTGTCTATATTTTGAAACGAGTTCTTTCTCTAGTTTATCCACACAGTCTGCATATTCAACCTTGAAAAATGTAGAGAAAAACAGAGTAAACATGGAGTAACTCATAGAATGAAAAGTATACACGCAAATGAACATAAAATTAAATAATTACACAAAGGTTTGAATGACATGGGCTAGGGAAGACTAAACAAGCTTACCCTATAAGGGTGTCTTTCATCTTGGAAATAAGTCAGAAGGTGTAAGACACAACGAAGAATACAAGTTCTTTCTTCGTAGTAATAATCTGCAATCTGGGAAGAACCCAAATATTCAAATCACTCACATTTGCACAGAATACTTAATATTATATTTACTGATAACACACACTTAAAGATCTTAGTGGGAAAGTTTGACTTAAACACTACAGAAGGCTAAAATATGAGGACTGCAGTTTGAAGCCAGCCCAAGCAGGAAAGTACATGAGACTCTTATTTCAATTAACCACGAAAAAAATCTGAAAACTGTGGCTCAAGTGGTAGAGTGCTAGCCTTAAGCACAAATGCTCATGGACAGCTCCTAAGCCCAAAGTTCAAGGGGAAAAAAAAACACAAACACTAAAGCAGACAGGGCTGGGACTATTGGCATGGCTCAAACAAAAGAGCAAATTTCCCTAGCACAGAGTTTAAATCCCAGTACTCTCCCCCACACACACATCTAAATGTCTTAATAAACCAGGAAATGCAGTAAGCCATACTAAATATGTATTTCTAAAGGTTTTCTAACATGAATTCCCAGGCATTCAAGTAACACATACTGACTCACCATATACTTGACAACATATGTTCAAAATACTTAAGAGGGCAACAATGGCTGACATCTACAATCTTAGCTAGCTACTCAAGAGGCTGAAATAAGAGCATCATAGTTCAAAGCCAGCCTGGGCAGGAAAGCCTGTGAGACTCTTATTTCTAACTACCAAAAAAAGCCAGAAGTGAAGTGGCTCAAGTGGTAAGAGTGCTTGTGCAAAAAAGCTCAGGGACAGTGTTCAAGCCCTGGGACAGGCACAAAAAAAAATTAACAATAAATAAATATATAAATAACAATAAAAAATGTCACAGCTATATGCTGTAAGTGCTTATAACTAATGTAGTTGTCTCATTAAATATCAAATAGGAAACTATTTCAGAAATCACAATCAAATGATTGTGTGTGTGTGTGTGTGTATTACAGTACCGGCGATTAAACTCAGAGGCTCATACTTGCTAAACGCTCTGCCATTTGAGCAATGCCAGTGGTTCCATCCCTACCATGAAAAGAAAGTCGTTAAATGATAAAAGAAATTTGTATTTAGAGAGAAGATATCAATACACTTGGTCTTACCACCAATAGTCAAAAAATATCCTTGAAAAAACTCTTCAGCTAGGTACGTTAATAAACAACTGTTTTGTGTGTATGTGTGTGCTAGTCCAAAGGCTGGAACTCAGAGCCTAGATGCTATACTTGAGTTCAAGTCTTGGTTTAAAAAATGAGCTAATAGGGACTGGAAGTGCTTGCCTCACATGCTTGAGGCCCAGGGTTCAATTCCTCAGCACCGCATAAACAGAAAAGGCCGGAAGTGGCACTGTGGCTGAAGTGGTAAAACACTAGCCTTGAGCTGAAGAGCTGGAGGACAGCACCCATGCCTAGAGTTCAAGCCCATAACCAACCAAAAAAAAGAACAACAACAACAAAAAACAAACAAAAAAGAGCTAATAAGCTTACTCAATATGACATGAAAGTCTGTCGTTATGTCGAAAAACGAACTTTACAACTTTGGTGGGGGAGTGGGAAGGGAGGATACGAAGGGATGGGAAGGGGAAACAAAGCAGGAGGCTACAATGCTTGATAAGAAATGTGCTCATTATCTTACCCATGTAATTGTAACCCCTCTGTACAGTATTTTCACAATAAAAATATGTTAAAAAAAAAAAAAGACATGAAAGTCAAGAAATTGTCACTCAAAGCCGGGTGCCGGTGGCTACTCAGGAGGCTGAGATCTGAGGATCACGGTTCAAAGCCAGCTCAGACAGGGAAGTCCGTTACACTCTTATCTCCAATAAACCACTAGAAAACTGGAAGTGGTGCTGTGGCTAAAGCAGTAAAGCACTCGCCTTGAGCTGAAGAGCTGAGGGTCAGTGCCCAGGCCCAGAGTTCAAGCTCCACGACCGACAAAAAAAAAAAAGAAATTGTCACTCAATTACACACCAAAGAACAGTAATGTAGTTAGTACTGACCTTCAAGATTAAGGCCTGGCTCTGTCTCTCATCTTGCAGAACCGTCTGAGGAAAAAATAGATGGCAAAACGTCATCTAACAGATAGATAAAGCATGCAAAGGTGTACCTCACCTGCAACATTATGATTGCCCATTTTCTCTGTAAACAATTTCTTATTTTTAACTTAAGTCAGTCCCTCTCTCCTTTGTTCTAGTCTCTTCACACATAAAATGAGGATAGGTTTGGATATTCTTTGAAATCTCTGATTAATATGTCATTCTTTGTCCCTTCCAGCACTCTAAGTATGAGACATATATCACCTTACGTACATGGTCTTTAAGCCTTTAGGATACTCTGATTTCTCTTCAGATCATATAAATCTTTCAGTTTTAGGCCTTAGGGAAAAAAGCTGTAAGTGATAACCTACCTCTGTTGATTACAAGGAAAAAGGAGAAAGGGAGCAGGAGCTAGACACACAACAAACCTTCAGTGAGTCCCGAGTACCCCTGTAATCCTCCTGAAGGTAGCACTGCAATAACTGAACACTCTGTTCTTCATCAAGACCCTGAAACACAGAGTTGTGCAGTGAGCATAGTCATCTAGCCTCACAGGCCACACAAAGGATAGAGAGCATTCTAGAAACTGTCCTCTGGCATGAACACAGCATTTGAATATACAAACTGCATAAAACATAATTACTTTAACCTGTAGGAGATTAAAGGGACCAATCACCGGCCTGTAATTAGCATGACAAATTAAGAACTATGCTAATTATTCACTTTATTAAAACATATTAACAGAGCAGCAGCACAGTTTGGGCTCCCAAAATAAAAACCAACAACTTGGGCTGGGAAGGTGGCTGGGAAGGTGGTAGAGTATTTGCTTTGCATGCATGAGGCCCTGGGTTTGATTCCTCAGTACCACATAAGCAGAAAAAGCCAGAAGTGGCGCTGTGGCTCAAGTGGTAGAGCGCTAGCCTTGAGCTGAAGAGCTGAGGGACAGTGCCCAGGCCCAGAGTTCAGGCCCCATGACTGACCAAAACAAAAAGCCCAACAACTACATACTTAAATATAAACATAGTCACCTCAGAACTACACATATATGCTGAAGAAAATTCTACCATACGTAGTAAAGTAAATGGATCAGGCAACTTTATTTGTGACATATGGTGAAAAAAGCTGAAACCTGGATATGTCTGAAATGTTAACATGCCCAGTTAAAATCTCCAAAATTGAAATAAACTGAATTTCCACCAGCAATCATCAGCACTGAAGCCAAGTAATAAACTAAGACAGTGCTCATTTTTACTCACCAAAAACTTGCTGATTCTTAAGCCCAGTTCCTTCAATGGTGAAGCCACATCTTTATTAGCTTTCACTTTCTCTGCTGAACTTGGACTAAGAAAAAAATAATGTGTTATTTCATTTTCAATGACCTCCCAGGGGTACAAGATAAGAATACTTGAAAATATTTTTACTACAGGCATACTTTCTACACTGTATCACAAAAATGTACACAACTACCTCCATAGACTTCTATAAAACACAGAACTGGTTATGCCCAACAAACAAAACAGTATGATGTCTGCTAATAAACTCTGGTTATAACCATATCATTTGTAGATTTATTCAGTTTCATTATTTTTTTTTTCAATTTCTTTTTTTTTTTTTTTTTGGTCGGTTGTGGGGCTTGAACTCTGGGCCTGGGCACTGTCCCTCAGCTCTTCAGCTCAAGGCGAGCGCTTCCGGTTTTCTGGTGGTTTATTGGAGATAGGAGTCTCACGGTCTTTCCTGTCCGGGCTGGCTTTGAACCACGATCCTTAGATCTCAGCCTCCTGAGTAGCTAGGATTACAGGCGTGAGCCACCAGGGCCCGGCTCAGTTTCATTATTTTTGAGCCCTGCAAATACCGTGAAATATATTGCTACAACCACCTTATCAGTGGTATTATCAACATTTAAAAAGAAAAAATAGCCGGGCGCCGGTGGCTCACGCCTGTAATCCTAGCTACTCAGGAGGCTGAGATCTGAGGATCGCGGCAGAACTGGGTGCTTCTACAGCTGAGATAAGAAAGATAAAGGGTGAATCTGAAGCACTTTGGAATGCCAGAAAGTAAGGAAGTATTCCCAAATCCGAAGGATGTGGACAAGTCAAAAGGACAAAGACACCCAGAAACAACTCCCTATGGCCAAACATGGAAGAAAGTATAAGAGTGTAGCTCAGACGTAGCTTGGTGGTAAAGCACATACATTCTAAGCAGGAATGTAGGACTCTATGTTCAATCCCCAGTACTCTAAAAAACATAAAGCTAGTATAAATATACTCGAATGCATACTGATATAAACAAATGAATACCGGGCTGAATGTAGGAGAGTAGTCTTCCTTACAAAGAATTTTGAATTTCATGTGTAGATGATACCTCCTAAGGAGGTCGAGTTTAATTTCACCACTGTCCCACATTACAATGGGCTACACTGGGTTGAGGGTACAGCATAAGACCCTAGTACTTAGTTCCTAATACAGAGGGGACGGGGACGGGAATGGGGACGGGGACAGGGGGAATGGGATACACTTAGTGACCCATTTCCAAGGAACGGAGAAAAGAAAGGAAAATGTAACTTGAAACCTGACAAGCAGTACCTTAACCAAGTCAACTCACCATCATCACTGATGTCAGAGGCATAACATATATATACACTCTGGGTTTGGGGGTTTTTGTTTTGTTTTATTTTGTTTTTTTGAGGTTCGTGAACTCTGGGCCTGGGCACTGTCCCTCAGCAATTCAGCTCAAGGCTAGCTATACTACTTGAGCCACAGCACCACTTCCAGTTTTCTGGTGGTTTATTGGAGATAAGAGTATCACCAACTTTCCTGCCTGGGCTGGCTTTGAACCGCAATCCTCAGATCTCAGTCTTGTGAGTAGCGAGAATCACAGGTGTGAGCCACCAGCGCCTGGATTCATACACATTTGGTAATCAAGTAGTAAGAACAGTATTTCAAGCTGGGTGCTGGTGGCTCACACCTGTAATCCTTACTACTCAGGAGGCTGAGATTTGAGGATCATGGTTCAAAGCCAACCCAGGCAGGAAAGTCCATGACACTCTTTTGTGTGTGTGTGTGTGTGTGTGTGTCCGGTTGTGGGGCCTGAACTCTGGGCCTGGGCGCTGTCCCTCAGCTCTTCAGCTCAAGGCTAGCACTCT